GCCCAGGGGACGGCCAAGATTAACCTGGTGCAAATATATGGAAGGAATGTGTTTCAGAGTCCAGTTGTCTTTTGCCGAAGCTCAGACTCTGGCACAGGATCGGGAACGTTGGAAGCTCTGTCTGACGCGTCTGCCTCCGTGACCCTAAAGGAGAAGCGGCCTTGGAAGATGAATGAATGAATGAAGTGATATGTTCAACGGGCGGTATTAAAAGCTCCCTCAAAACATCGGGGTTCGTTTTTTTTCACTCCGTCGTTTGGCTGAACCACGGCTTAGTTATTAAACATAATTCCGAAATTTTTGATCTATTTGATCACATAATTCATTTTCGAGGGTCATCATGTAACAGCAAATGTAAAAAGATGTCTCCAGCGTAGTTGCACACTTTGAAATGATCTTTAGGCATGAACATCGTCACTGAAATGTTTATACATGGTGTAATCCAAGCTGACAAATTTATATATACATTAGTCTTGCTCAACGTCAATAACTCCTTAGTCGGTTTCTTCCAGACTGATGAAAAATTTCCACGGTTTTGTTTACTTGCATTTGCAACCTAGTATTATCTGATGACGGATTCTGCTTGATCTGAAACGGCGAGACTTTATTTAATGAAATTTGAAAGTAGATATGACTCTCTGATTTTGTCGATGAAGCATCACATAATATCGTAATCGAAAATGAAAATTGCACTTAAACTTTAACATATGGATTTAACGGTTTCTAAAGGACTTGGTAGGTTATCGTAATCATTTGTCACTTGCATGCAAGGTACAGAAGAAATGGGATATATGCGGTATCGCATCCTTCAGGAACTCAGTAAGTCAGTGGATCAATAAGCGGTGGGTTCTGGATATGTAATACATATTAAGTCTAGTATAAAGAGGTCAGTTATGTGGACCTCATTCTCACCTACAAGAAACAGCCTGCCTTAATCTTTAAAATACTTACTTTAATAAGCCAGCTACACCGTTCTTTCGCATCGTTGGTATTTCTTTGGGGACTAGAAATGATGGTGCGCTTTGGATACTTCGCGGCTTTCACTACTCCACCGCACGTTCCTGCTGAAATCAGTGGATTATGCGATTGACTTGCTGGTAGATGCAGAAGCATCTTTGAAATGAGAGGCACGCCAGCGCTGTGATATACAGCAATGCGATTTCACTGCTGTAAACAAAATCACACTGAGAATCAGTAAGATTTTAAGTTAGTCAAAGTACTACAGTATCTCTGAACAGCAGGGCAATCTTTATATACCACACCGTGGCTATCTCAGAGGGGTGCTTAAACTTCTGCAGCAAAATATACGATAGCCACACTCTTGGGCTTCCCTGAGTCAGGGCAGATCAACTGCCGCTGGCAAATGGAACACAATTCTAGTTCTTAATAAATGCCTAAAGTAGGAAACACTTCGCCAGCCCGATTTTCCTCCGTCGCTGAAGATGCGATTCCTCACTCAGGGTATAAGAATAGACCAAAGCAAACGCGCAAAAATAAATATTCGAACTCTCTACAAAATGCGAGTATAGAAACGACAACTGAATCGTAGGACATCCAAATGCCGCCTGGTAAAAAGACTCGAAAAGTTTTCTAAGCTGTAATTAGGTGCTTTTCAATTAAAGCCTGGAATCATGATTTACTCTTAAGCTTCGTCAGAAAAGAAGTCAGGTATGACTGCCAAATTTGAGGCTGGATAATCACTGCTATCTGGCAAATTACATGGACTATTAGTATTTTTGTTGGACATATTCCTCTGTCTGTCTTGCATTTTGCTCGACTACACTGAGTGACAAAACAACAACGGATCGGTGTTGGCATTTTTGCCCTTCTCCTATACACTCTGCAACACATGAACTGAAAATTATATTCTTTGACCTTGAAATCTTTGATTGAGTGCGATTTATGGGATTCCTCGAAATATAGTCGTCAATTTATGGATTCTCTGCTAAGACATACCCATCGCCACCCTCAATCATTCACACCCAGCTTCTGTACAAAACTCCCTAATGTAATGATGCCGTCTTTCCCTTCGTGCCCTTAGTTCTAGTGTTCATTTAAGTAGTTTGTGCTTCATATGTGTAGCAAAGTATTTACAGTCATCATGTGTTTCACTGTATTTGCATGAGCGATTCTCAGCTTTGATTTAGGCGTTGGTCGCTTGTTCTACTACGTTACATTTCTGTGATTAATGACTTCAATGCATCGGAGAATTATTTGACTCTATTCTAGCTGCAGCACGTTCCATAACATGTTATGAAGGCGGACTACAGTATTAAAACATTGGAGTAGATATGATAATATCACCTGCGCATCATCACATATTTCGTTAGAGTGCACTTTTTCCGACAAGAACCATACCCCAAAAGTGGCATAAAAATAAAAGAACATACACATGGATGGCTCATTCAGTTCACAGTGAGCGCCTCCAAACCCGCCAGGACACAGGCATGTTGATTTTTTCAGCGGATGTTGATAACCACCATTCTGACACGAACTGGTTTCAACAGATTTACCTGAAAATGCCCTTATATTACTGAGTTCATATTTTTAGGACAGAAAATGACAGCTCTGACAGATAAACTCCTGGATCACACTGATTAGTCGCAAAATGTAGCGATTTTGAGTCTTCTTCCTTTAAGCGCTGCCTTCCAGGTTCCTGACGTTATTTTCCTACCGTCGTGGGGTAAAGAGGGGTGGGAACCGAACGGCTTAACTTCGAGCGAGGGTATCCCTCGGCGGTCATTGACAACCCTCTCACGTCGGTGGGCTGAGCTAATTACCCATTCACCGTAGCTTTTCCTGCCTGCTTTCGACGACGACGTCCTTTGCATCTGCCTGCTGTTTGACTACCGTGTTTGAGATGTGATTACGATGTGAGATCCTATGCATCCTTCTTTCCACAGCTCTCTCATTAACAGATATCTGGCGCTGTTCGACTTTATTGAGTGACCCGGTCTCACAGCAATGCAGCATTGCCGGCAGGGCGGTGGAGTTGAGGAGGTGTGAGCAGGTTTTCTTTCTGATGCTGTGAAGGAGGACAAAATCGATGGAATGGAACGCATGGTAACCGTAGCTGGAACCTCGAATTCTTTGGTGAATCTCGCCAACCCGACATAATGCATGCTTCTCTCCTCGCTAAATCGACTTCGATCGTTTCGTCGCTAAAAGCTATTGAACCCCTGGCAAGGCATCCAATAGAAGTATGTTTGCCTTTAACCAACTGATTCGCAGGTCGACTTTTGCACTTTGTCTATCGAGCTCTTGCAACATGCCCTTTTCCGTAAATAGCACCACGCGATTCGCCTAGGCACATCTATTTGTATTGTTATGAAGCATGAACTCATTGCCCCTTGCTGGCGTGGCAGACGGTGGCCTGAAGAATTTCTTCCACAGGTATCCTCAGTTCCATCCGTTATTTATCTGTTGTCTCTTCTAGCCTTTGACGGACCGACGCCCAGCCGCAAACAGCGATGACATTTGCAGGAACATTTCCTCAAGAGGGTCAGTCGCTTTGGCCTCGA